TGTCATGTCAACAAGGGGATCCAGAGATCAAACTCATGCAGGTAAGGTGAAGTGAGCGGTTTTTCCTGGCCTGGACTTTCATGTGTTGTTGTTTATTTCCATATCTAATCTGCGTCTCAGTCTGAGGCATATGAAATGCGCGCTCCACTGAGCATCAGGCACAATATTCATTCATTTGTCGGAATTGCTGAATAATTAATTAATCAACCCATGTAAATGAGGTGTCATTTTTTAAGTTGCCCAAGGGATAAATTCTGAAGTAAAGGTACTGTGTGTGTGTGTGTGTGTGTGTGTGTGTGTGTGTGTGTGTGTGTGTGTGTGTCTGTGTCCATGTGGCAGTTAAGGTGACATCGCTGTGCAGGAGTGAAGGCAGGATTGATATGGCACCCTGGGGAGCACAGTCTCATGTTCTCACACACACACACACACACACACACACACACACACACACACACACACACACCCTTGTTTTACTATATTTGTGACGACCCATCATTGAGGTAATGCTCGCCCTAGCCACTTACCCTAACCTGACTAACCTAACCATTACAACTGAAGTTACCCTAACCATAAAACTAAACCCAATTCTAATCCTAAAACTCTTAATCCTCAAACAGCCATTTAAACCTGTGGGGTCAAGTACCCACCACATACACATACACACACACATATACAGTATATACACACTCATACCCTGTGTTACACCGTTGGGGGAACATTAAAGATCATCGCAATATTTTTTGACTCTTTCAACACTTTTTGTTTTATTCAGAAGCGTCTTCCATCGCTGCTGTTAAAACATCCGGTGCATTCAGACCACGATTAAATTCATGAGGCGTGCTCCAAAAACAGAGGGAAAATGAAGAGGAAGAGAGACAAAAAAAAAAAACATCAGAGCGCATCACACAGATCGGACTGGACCTGTCGATGGGCAGCTCTGAGTTAGAGAAGATACTAACGGAGACTTAAGAAACACAGAGTGAACGGTGTTCGTGACCAACATGATCCAGTTGCCATTACTGACCTCGGGGAAAGTCAATAACCATTTAGCATGAGACTAACATGAAGCCAATCAACAAGCCAGGCGGGACATCCAGCCACACAAAAACAGCCTGTGAGGGAATGAGAAGTGAGTGCAAGCCTTAAAAAGATGATGAAAGGGAGGAAAGAGAGAACAAAAGAGACAAATTCACAAATAAAAGATAAAAGAACAACAGTGTAAAAGGTAAGGAGTGTCAGCGATGAAAACACGATGATACAAACTAAGTTTTTTTTTTTTTCCTTTTTCAACCCACCCAGTTTTAAGGAGCTGCCGGGGTGGTACCTTCAAGCTGAATTGCTTAGAATGCAGCAGGAGAAGACATTTCTTTCCTTAATCAATAATGTATTCTTTTCAATACAGGCAAGTGATGCATTATTCAACAAAGGCTGAGAGATGTATGGAAGAGGCTAACACAGGGAGATCCTGCAACATTTATCTAATTAACAAGTAAAAATAAAAGACAGAAGGATATGGAGAAGGGTGGAGGGGACAACACAAGGAGGAGGGAGAAAAACAGAAAGGGAAGGAAAGAGAGAGAGAGAGAGAGTGAGAGAGAGAGAGAAAGAGAGAGATAGAAAGAGAGGGGGGGATGAGGCGTAAATAGTGTCTTTTCTTTTTTAAATGGGGAAGCTCTCAGATAGTATTCTCCAGAGGTTCACGTGGAAACGGCTTTGACTGGGAGTCATCAGCACCAAGAGATTTAGCCTCCAAGTGACAGGCAAAGGAAACACACACACACACACACACACACACACACACACACACACACACACACACACACACACACACACACACAACACACACACACACACACACACACACACACACACACACACACACACAGAGTAAAAGTATATTCAGTGCACGCAAAGGCATTAAAGCATATATATGCAGGGAAATTTCATACACGTCTCTGTACACACAAGTATGAAGGCGTAATCGTGAATAGACAAACACACTGAGGGTCTTACAAGGCGTAATCATTGGAGGCGAGCTTCTCCTCATATTTCACATGAGGATTAGCGAAAATCTGCATGGAACAAGGCGGCAGAAAGGCTCTGCTACTTACACTTCAGAGGGTAACCGTATAAACCTTAACCTACAGAGGGTGAGGAGTTATATAAACTTTAAAAAGGAGGGTAAAAAGACTATGTAAACCTCACAAGGAGAGGATACAGCGCATGACACACTGAAGGAATCCTAATCCTTGTTTGGGATAGGAAAACACACTGCAACATTCGCTAAACAGATTTAACTGTCGTTTTTATGTGAGTGGTAGATATCATATACTTAACATCATCGCAGGCATTATCCGCTATGTAAGTACTCGGACCTCTAATCATATAATGAATTCCGCAGTCAAACAGGTGCTGTTTATTACAAAAAAAAAAAAAAAAATCAGAAAAAATACAGTCGCTGGACAAACCTTTTTAGATATGAGGATTGGTTGTTGTTGTTTTTTTTTTAATTATTTTATTACTATTTATATATTATTTACTATATTTTTTATTTAATATATTGTCATAAATTGAACCCTTTGGGATTTTGGACAAAGTCAGACAAGAAGAGTATTCTGAAGATTCTAAAGATCAACACTTTTCATCATTTTCTGACCTGCTACAGTTTAAATGTTGAATTGAAAACAATTGAGAGATTCATTGATAATAACGTTTCTGGCTGAATAGCACATAAATTACTTGTGGGACAAGCATAATTTACAAAAACGTTCAAGATCTCCACATATTTCAAGATATTACTCAAGCACTGCAGATGCAAATCTCACTTTCTGGTGTCATTTTTTTTAGCATCACACCTTTACCTCTAGAAACTTGACCAAGACGCCAACTTACACGTCTTCAGATGCACAATACATTAGATGCATGCGGATAAAAACCTGGTATCTCCTGTCCACTTGTCAGAAAAGCAGAGACAAAGTATCGACAGTGGAAAATGCTTCACACATTTGGTTCAAGTGGCTCTGGTTTGCAAGCCCACGAGAGCTGAAACGTTTCCACAGCCTGAGGAGGGAACTACGAGAGAGCTTTGTGTGTGAAGAGTGAGAGAAAGCTGCAGATGAGCCGCAGCGTGTGGATTTGAAGCTCGCAGAGGAAGGCTGACAGGATGTGAGGTAAGAAGTAAAACGTGAGCAACAAAACAAAGACAAAGTGGTTGTTGGGTCGAGCTCTTTAAAGTGGATTATTTTCTCCTCATGTGCTCCTGCAGAGGAAACACCCCTGCTGTCAAGGAGCTGAATTGCTGCTGTTTCGATGACACTCACTGACAGGGGACAGGTGTGTGTGTGTGTGTGTGTGTGTGTGTGTGTGTGTGTGTGTGTGTGTGTGTGTGTGTGTGTGTGTGTGTGTGTGTGCGTGCGTGCGTGCGTGCGTGTGTGTGTGTGTGTCAGGTGCCAATCAGAACATTCTGTAATTCCCCACCACTCATCCTTCGCCTCTGGTCAAACTGAGAGATTATCCCTCACCCCTTCATTTCTCTGCTTCCCCTCTCCACATCCTCTATTCCCACACTCACCTCCTCCCTCCTTCTGTGCCCTCCCCTCCAACACCCTTCTCTCTCCTTCCCTCCTCTCCCCCTTTTTTTAAAATAAAAACAAAAAGGTGCCACGTATAGCATTACAGCATCAACAAAGCATTTCTGCAGTAACTTTAAGACATTCGTATATTCACTGTAAACAAACGTGCTAATCACTGAGAGGTTTTACATCGACCCCTACACTGCAAGTGCTATTGTGGGCCACAGGGTCGGATTTGGTGGGAAATCTACTGGACCGCTTAAGAGTGAGATTGCTTTGTGGCATGAAATAGGAAGTAGGGTGTTATTCTTCCAGTGCGACTGGAGCTAAAGATTTTCTTGCATTGGCAGATCTTGCAGAAAGAGAAAGGTTTATAGAAAAATAAATCATCCTCGGGAAAAGACAAACACACAGTATGGGCAGTGGGTTGTCGGAAGGAAGCTGCAGGATTTACAGAAAGTGTGGTGGTCATTTTGAAAAAGACTAGTGCTAACAATACCACTGAAGAAAACAGATCACAACTCCATAGTTTCATTTGTTCACAGTAATTACACTATGTAACTGTATCGTAAATGCTATATGTAGCATCTTTAAGGCTAGTCTGGCTAACACACCGTCTGGTAAGCCTCCTTTGATCTTCTGGGCAAATGACACAGATAAGAATATCCCCATTGTGGATCTGATGAATCCCAGGAGCTAAGCGCTGCCTCGTGAATCCACACTATCATGCTGTTCATCTCGTCCTATTCACAGTTCAAAGTGACTGGCGGGGCGAGGGGCTTGCCCTATTCAAATGTGAGAACCAATCCGGACTCGTGCTGCTTGTCTGAGGGAATCCTGCACAATGAATGGAGGCTTCCTAGATTATAGCTCCCCGTACCAGTCAGCCGGTGATAGCCAGACTGCTAAAAACACCCACTCGTTCCACAATTCCTCCTCTCTCCTCGCCCCTTTCTCTCTTTGCTCATCGCTTCTTCTTCCCTTCCTTCTGTTCTCCACCTGCATTCCTCCAACACTTCTCTGCAGATACTTACCTCATCCTCCCAACCCCCCCCCCCTTCTTTACTTCCTCTACATCATCTCTTCCCACCAATACCACGCAGGTTCCTCTCCGTTTTCTTCCTCTAGACACCAGCTGTACTGATATTTGTGAGGTGCAGCTACTAGGCAAGGCCTCAGTTCAGTCTGTTAGCATGATAAAGTATTACTACCGTTTTACAGGCTGTCGACAGCAGCAACAGCCAAATGTGTATGAGCTGACAAGTGAGTGTGTGCCTGATTTTCGCAGTTCAGCAGAGCTGCATCCAACACTTTTGGCAAATCACTCCAAACCAAACCAATGAATCAACCAGAACTCTATTAATCCATTCAGTCTTTGTATCAACAATCAACCAATCAACACATCATCCATCCACCCATCCTCCATACCTTATCAGCCATGATCATGGACGACCCTCCATGGATGCCGAGGATGGGTATAAGCGTCTGCGAGGAAATAAAATCCAAAATCTGGGCAATGGCCTCCTGGTCGGTGCCATCCCCAAACACCACGCCGTGGATCTTGGTCCCGGACATCAGGTCGCACATGTGAGTGATGATGCTTTTCGGGTCGGTCTCGTTGACCAGCAGTGTGACCACGTTGACGTCGATGGGGTCCTCCTTGCTCCACAGCGCCCGGATGTCCCGGTCGGAGATGTAGCGCGTGCGTCCCAGGATCACAGCAATGTTCAGGACCGGCACTTTTTCCGAGGCGCCGCCACTTCGCTGCTTTTGCGCCGCCGCGGGGTCCGTGATGAGGGTCACCACCACCAGGAGAGCCAAGGAGAGCAGCACACTATTACTACTACTGCTACAGCTGCTGCTCCTTCTACTCCTCCTCTTACTCCTTTTGCTGCTGAGGGACATACTGCCAAACCACTTCATCCCCTGCATGGAGACAGGATGAGGGAAAACAGAACAGATGAGGACAGATGGAAAGGAGAGTAGGAGATGGGAGAGAGAAGTGTGGAAAGATGATGGCAGAGAGAGAGAGAGAGAGAGAGAGAGAGAGAGAGAGAGAGAGAGAGAGAGAGAGAGAGAGAGACAGGGGAGACAAACTGTTAAGACAAGCCCACACATTCAGGTAGCATCTTTCTTCTTTATTCCACTTCTTCCCTGTAACGTTATTAAACACATAAACCTTGCGGGGAGGGAGATGGCCTTGAGAGGGAAGTTGCGGAGGGGTGATAGAAAGAAAAGATGACTAACAAGTATCTACTTTATGGTCACGACTGCTAGGATCAGATGATTCAGGAGCGAGCTGTGCTATTCAGAAGAGGCAGGCAGACATTTATACAGTTTACAAGTGTAATATCTTAACACTCCACCTTCAGGATGGATTGACGCACATCTTATAAAAGGAGGAAGCTGGAGGGACAGTCATAGAGAAACTACGCTGAACATTCATGTACGTTTGATTCTATTACACTTCCTGCCAGTGGGATGATTCAGTTATTATAATATTTGCATTGTTCTGCAGGACAACAGGTAATTTGGTTTTTATATTATGGAGTAGAGGCTGATCTCACATACAGTATGGGGAAAAGGTTTTTTAGCATAGACTGTAACTTAAAGAACTTTACTCTTTTAGCCATGCTAGTGGCATGACTCAAAGGCCAGCGATGGCTGTCTCTCAGTCCGTCTGTCGCTGGGTTCACCGTGTTGGTCCAGACTAAAACATATGCGAGATGGATTGGAAGAGCATTTCTGTACAGATGAATGGTTCCCAGGTGATAACTCCTGATTGACTTTTCCTTTAGTGCCACCATAAGGTTCACATTTTGTGGTTTAGGATGAAATGTCTCTACAGCTATTGGACGACTGCCATAAAATTTCACATTCATGTGCCCCCTCGGGATCTCCTAACGAGCTGTAATGTCTTTGGTGATCCATTGGCTGTTCATCTAACACCGTCATCAGCGGCTCAAAATTTTACTTTTTTGACCAACTACCTTGCAAAACTGAAGATGGCAAACATGTCTTCTAAACATCAGCATTTTAGCATTCTCATTGTGAGCATGTTAGCGTGCCAATATTGGTATTTAGTCCATGTGCTTATGGTACAGCCTCACAAGCTGTAGACGCTTAGTCTTGTTCATATATAAATAACCAACATCTCAAATGTGGACAAACCACTCACAGCTTCCTACCAGGAATCAAAACGATGACTCAAACATTATGTTCTCACTGCACTAAAGCTCTTATAGATTCAGTAGAGGAGTAAGTAAAACTGTACAAAACTATAAAAACTTTTATAAAACCAGTCTATGCCACTTGTCATACTGAGATTTTTAATTAAATGCCTAATGGAAGGGACGCCATATTGCAAGCACAACAAAATAGTGGAGTTGTATGGTAAGAACTGATTTAAAAAAATATCAAATCTCTTCTCATCCATCAGGAGACACTGATGTGACTGGGGAATAAAACAAAATGAAAGAAAATGATGCTGATGCTGCCCCATGATGCTTATTCTGGTGTCTTCACCTGTATTTATTAGATTCTTATATAAATGATTCAATGCACAGAGTGGTGACACAGCTGTCAAATTCACAGAGTTCAGTTTGTGTCCCCAGAGGTAAGTAAGAGACAAATTACATAAAGGCTGAAAAGAACAGACTAATATAAACAAGAGTGCTATAAATAGCTGGGGATGCCAGATAGTGTTCTCTTGCGTTTTTGAAGTAGCACTGCAGGCCTCGGACAGGGAGGCAGAAGGTTGGGAGAGAGAGAGAGAGGGAGAGAGAGATAGAGAGAGAGAGTGAGAGGGAGGAAGGGGGGGGGGGGTCCTCGGTTGAAAGAAACATTTTTTGTGTGTGTGCATTTGAGAATGTGCATGTGTACACGGATGTGGGAGCGTGTGAAAGTGGGAGTCGGTGTGAGTGAGAGCCAGGTAAGAGAGTGACAGTGGTCATTCTGTACCAAACAAACAGACGAGCAAAGGGACATCATCATCTCACAGAAACCTCACCACCCTTCTCCCCACAGAGACAACACTCACTGGCCTCAACACCCAATGCTCAGAGAGCATGAAACAGTGAGTGAGCGCGTGTGTGTGTGTGTGTGTGTGTAGGTTTATCATCATGTGTAAGACATAGAGCAGGTGTGCTGAACAGTAGAGCGTGAGCAAAATCAGAAGGGCATGAAACATATGGTCACATAATGTGTCCATGTGCACTGTTGAAGATTTATGGATTCACCGATGGGGGCCGCGTGTTTTTGCGTCAGTGTGGAGCCCGTTGGTGCATGATTGATTCCCAGGAGACGTCGTTCATCATGCCACTGTTGGGAGGCAGTGCAGATTTAAGCGCCGAGATCATGAGATCATAAGAAACTTGTCTCATTTACGAAGCGTTCCCACCCATTAACGTAATCGACAAAACAACACTGTGAACAACACAGCAAGACATCCACATGTTGCGAACCCATGGATTCTCAGAAGCAGCCGGTAAAATAGCACCAGATTTAATAGCTACGAAGGACAAGGTACTTTCAGTCCTGCTTCTTTGTCTATTTGTCTCTGAATCAGGATTTCTCAAAAAATATTAATATTATATTTGTTTTGGTATTTTCCCATGAACTTACTTGATTGACAATATTATGTCATATGTATCCTTATAGCAATTTATTCCATGTTGTTGTCTGTGCCACCTACACCTGCTAACTTGCCTTTGGCGTGTCAGTTGTCAAAAACGTTTTCATAAGGATCCTAATCAGAATGCGCTTTAGTAAGCAATGTAATAAAATAATCTTTTGTATTTGTAAAGTTTTCCATTATTCCACAAACCCTGCCTCTCCCAAGTAAAGAGAGAAAGCTGTAGATTAGATTATTTTCTGCAGGCTAGGATTTGTCATACCTTGTGATTCTGTGGTGAAATTGAGACTCTAGTGGAAGACTCTATTGTGAGCTGAATAATGCATGTGGGCTCACTGTGTCTTTAAACAAGCAGAGGACTGCGTGTGCCCCCCCAACCCAACTGAGCATAAACAGTGTTAGAGCAGACCTGAGGATGAATCATCCAAATCTCAGTCCATTCACTGCAGAGAAAGACCACTGACGCCTAATGGATTCCTATTGTCTCTGTCAAGAAGTCGACGTCTTCCTTCTTCCAAAAAAAGCTGTAGGATTTGATGATGGCTTGCCCTGACAGCTGGTGAAATCATTTCATTCTACAGGGCTGATATGTGTTTCTCAGTGGGACAACTGCATACTTTCTTTTCTTTTTTTCTTTTCTTTTTTTTTTAAAAAAGAGAAATGCTTATCTATTTATCTATAAATACAGTATTTCACAGTTGAAGTGACTGGCTTCACTTTTTCCACAAGACAACAGTCGCTTGTAATGTCGGTCAATGAACAGCTTCCCCAAACGTTTCCAAACTGCTCCACGGATTCAAACCAGCGTGCAGCCTGGCTGAGGCCCGACCATTCGACCACTCGACCACTCGACCATTACTACACCTATTTTGACCCCATATTTTGACTTTTTTTTTTAAGCTACAGAACAGCATCCATTTCCATTTAAGGTCTTGCCCAAGAGCACTTGATGAGGACGGGGTCCTCCTGTCAAGAGGGTTTCAACCCAAGGCTTCCGGTTGAAGGACCATCTTAATCATTAGACCATCCCGCTGCTGCACTTGCTGCTGCTGCTATCATTTTATATATTACATCTCAATATTAATATCACAGTATCAGTGGGACCATCAAACTCTGTTAAAATGCTTTTCATCAGCAGCTTCTGGAGGTTGCAGGAGAGTTAAAAAGTCGAGAAAATCTAGGCAGAGGAGCTGAATAAGAAATGCTCCCAACTGCAACGATGTGAATGTTTCCATATGTTCTGTATACACACTGTGTACACACATGGACTCAGGGGAATGTTTCTATAGGTTACAAATTCCCCTTTTTCACGGATACCATGTATAAACCAAAAGGTGATGCAGCATGCGGTATTTTCCTCAAAACAACTTATTTGGAGAAAACACACACGCAGCATTCATGGTAGGTAGTGCAGATTTATAAAAAGGCTCAAACTGGTACCAATTTGGCGTATTATAGTATTTATAGTAACAGGCAAGTCCACTGTTGACAAGATTATCTTTCAGTTCCAATGGGTGGTGTGGAAATGGGACTAACAAAAGAGAGTTTTTTTTTTTCTCTCTTCCCTTGTCTCAACTCTGCAGCATCACTGGGGGATTTCAGGGAGAGAGGGATAGCGGAAAAAATGCACAGAGGAAGAGAAAAACAGAGAAACTGTGGGAGAAAAGTAATATTTGAGAAAGAGATACAGATATGAAAAAAAAGAGGGAGGAAGAAAAAGAATGAGAGGGAGAGAGGGGGAGAGAGAGAGAGAGAGGGAGGGAGGGGAGAGAGCATCCCCCAGCCAAATCGGATTGGGGCAGTTTGTCGTCACACAAAGGCTACCGTTTCCTGGCACCACAACAGTAAATGATGTTTGGCAGGCACATCCATACTACTGGCTATCATTCACACACACACACACACACACACACACACACACACACACACACACACACACAGACACTCCTATCATATTTCCTCACACAAAGCACAAAACAAAAATCTGCACACGTATTATTCTAAAATCAGTCACCGTCTCAGTGATCAGTGAATAAGAAACTAAAATAAAAACAGGTTCGCTTTTTCTTTTTGCCCCCCCTTTCCTATACGTTCCTTTTCAGAAAATCTAATACACACACACACACACACACACACACACACACACACACACACACACACACACACACACACACACACACACACACACACACACACACTCTTGTTATACCATTACCACAATTCCCATAAGGCTTCACCGCCACAAAGCCCACATTTCTGGTCCACATACAACTAGGTTTCACATGCATCAATAATTCAGCCGCATTATCTT